GTGTATCTTGCACATTTTACAAATTTAGTTTTGGTGTAGGTTATAGTGATTCTAGGAGGAGCACTTTAGCTATCTGAAGAGATCATATCCTAACCCGTTAGTAAACAAGCCTGCACATGTGCTCTGTGAGAGATGCACTGTGTTTCTCATTGTTTCTGTCTCAGTCACATGAGACAAACTTGTTTAAAAGAGTTTCCGATAAATTGTTGATTGGGATGCCTCAAATAAAGAGATGTTCAGGACATGTTTAAAATAAAGTTTGTTTGACCTTAAAAAAAGATCCTTACAAAAGCATGCCAGGTGATTCTCTGTGCTGCTGCTTATACAAGCCAGTTGCCTCTGGGACAGGCTGTTGTGAGCTGTGGGCTCTTGGAGGTGTTGGAGCTAAAAGGCAGGCCGTGTGGCACGGAGCCAGGCAGGGATTTAGCAGATCTAGCACACTGGGTTCTAATGGAACTTCAAAGTCAAAGCTACCTGTGATGACCACCTTGATTTTTATCACAAAGGCAAATTCTGACCAGCATATATCTAGAATTTCCCTCCCCTCAGCTTTATGAAATGTCTGCAGTCTATCTTCATTTTAAAAAAATGCTCTAGTATATGCTGTTTAACAGGTTTAAATTGTGGCATACTACTCTACAAAACACATCCTTCTTAGCTGGCTAAATCCTAGGGTACAGACTGTAGTTCCCAAAAGTTGTGGTTGTTGACTTAATGCATAGTGATTAAAGCCCTGTTGATAAAATAATTACTTGTTCTTTAAGTGATAGAAAGAATCTGGGAAACAGAACAAAAATGTTTTGTAACTGTTACGTCACTGTTAGAAAAGTTATTTATAAAACGGTGGAACTAAGATTTTACATAATGATAGGCAAGGACATTCCAAAGTCCAAGTCCACGAGTCGTGGCTAGTAATAACAAAATTTCTTTTCTTCTGATGAATTTTCTCCTGTGAACTGATAAATTAATTGGGTATTTTTACTGTCTACTTTATGCTGTCATTTCATAGTGTTTTACATATACTGAATATTTTTTTCCTTTATGCGATATTTTTTCTGTCTCTTACTGCATCTTTCAGAAAGCAGCAGGAGAGGATAACATTTGAAAACAAACACATTCCTTTTATAACAAATACTTCTTTATGTATCATTGCACTTTTTAATTTACAAGCTTTTTCAGCCCATATGATACCAAGATTCTTGGCTTTTATTCAGGCCTCATGGCTGTAACTCTCTTCCTTTCAAAATGGCCCAAAATGTAATGTGTCGTTATCTGCCCAAATTGCAAATAGTATAAAACGATGACTTGTTAACTGTCTTGTCTCCTGACTGTTGTATTTAATAACATTGCTAAACAAATCCAAATGAAGCCATTGGTTATTACATGGAAGCAATATTCCTTGATATCCAGAGGAAAGGGTAGCTCTCTTCTCTGTCAACTACTTTGACGCTCATAATGCTAGAGCAAACAAGAATGCTGCATTCCCAACAAACAGGGATTCCTCATTGTCTGAAAATTTTGTGGGGAAACAATTGAATGGAGCAGTTTATCCTAACTGTTCTGTGGATGAATATCACTTTAAATTGAAATACATTGCCATACAGATGTTAGTTTTGTTGCTTTGGCAAAAACTATATAGATTAAGTTGCAAGATTGTTTCAGTAAGTCTTTTTAGGAGCAAGTGTTATGATTTGCCAGTGTACAGAAATGTATATTATTATTATTTGCCATTTGAGATGACAAGATTTAGACACAGTCAGTTGGTTAAGAATCATTTAACATGGTCTTTGCATCCACCATTTCACTACCGGGAAATTTTATGGAAGTTGCTATATTTTGAAGAATTCATAGCACAAAAGTGACATTTCTGTCTTTGTAAAGGAAAGTATCAGCCATAGGATGTACTTAGTTATTATTAATGCTGCTTCACAAGCAACAGTAAACCTGAACTCCGGTGATACTTTAGAAGAATCAGGAAAGTACTTAATAAATATGTAGGAAGGGAGGGAGAAATTATTTAATGTGTTTTGAGGACATTTGTTAAGCATTAACCTTTGATAAACAATATGTTTATCAATGCAAGAAGAATCCACATGAAGCCATTTGATAATACTCGTTTACTGTGCTCTTTGGTCAACCTGTCACTCACCACTTTCAACACTTTGTCTATTTCTATAGTTGAAACTCTGCTTTCTTTAAGCCTAATCAGACATCCCAGAATGATCTTCCAGAGACCCACAATAAATGTTACCACCTTCTGTTTTCCCCCTTACATCAAGTACATCACATTCCTTGTTTCAGTTGTTCTCTGGTGTCTCTCATTTTCCCATCATGTGCCACTGCGAAGAGCCTGGCTCAGTTGGTACTGGACAGCAGCTAACAGGTCATCTCAAATCCCTCCCCCATGCTGAATAAGCCTGTTTCCCCTCAGATTCTTCTCACAGGGTATGTGCTCTAATTACCTGACCACCTTGATGGTTCTCTACTGAACTTGCTCCAGTATGGAGGGCCCAAAACTGGACACTGTATTTTAGTTGGAATCTAGTAAGTGCCAGATAAAGGGGAATACTCACCTCCCTTGATCTACTGGCTTTGCTCCTTTCAATACAGCTCAGGATGCTGCCAGAACACACTGCTGGCTCCAGGGCCTTTTCAGCACAGCTGCTCCCCAGCCAGTCAGACCCCAGCATGCATCTTTGCAAGGGGTGAATGACACACACTCCCTGTGTACTCCCTCCCAACAGGAAAAGGTGAAAAAGCATATATGAAGAGATGTTCAAGACTTTGTCTAATGTACTTATGGAAAGCTCCAGTTCTACAGTGATTATATGGAGTCATGAAAAATCTTACAGGAGTTAATAGCTGGTTTAGTACGCTGCTATCCAGTACCAGCCAGTGCTAAGAGCTCTGCTGCCCAAAAAATCCAAAGCTAAGAGCAGATCAAAATAACCAGCTTTTGTAAGTAAATGGGCATTCAGTAGTGAAACAATTAGCACAAAGGTGGCTCCTTGCCTTTGTTCACCTAGGTTATTCTGTCATATTCCTTCTGAACAACGGGTATTTATTCTCTGTTCTTTATCCTGTCCTCATTTGGTACTAGAGATGGTCCCCCTGAAGGCCTGCTACCAATCTCTTGTTTCATAGGTGTTTTTTCTTAGTATCCTCAGATGAATTTAACACAATGCTCCAGCAATCCTAACTTCTGTCTGTCTTTCTTAGAACAAAATTGTCCCCAAAGTAATTACAAAATCAGGAATTGCTTTAAAAGGTTACTAAGTGACAGACACGGCTTATTTACAAAGCTGAAGCACTTAAATCGAGGAAATAAATAATTAAGAATTTTGTGTCTATATTGCATATGTGATACACTTATACAATATAAAAGAGTATATGATCATATTTTTTTTGTAACCTGTGGCTAGTACAGTTCATTTTGTATTTTGATTTTAATATCTAAGTTATATTGAGGGACTTTTAAATAAGAAATACTGAGACTAAATTTTTTTCTAAAGAATTTGCAATTGTTATTTCTTGTCAGGAGTTACATACTTGTAAATATAGTTTGACAGAGAGACTATACAAAATTTTTACTATAAAATGATGGGTTTAAATTATAGTTCTGATTGGTATTTATATATAGTTGTCATGTTTATGTTTCAATAGAATTGTCTGAAATGTATGTCTGTATGCCTACCGGAGAAAATAGTGTTTACTTAGGATCAGAACTGGTATTTTTGTAATTACTTATATTTTTTTTTATCATGTATCAGACTGATTCATGCCATATGGAAATATTTTTCTTAGAGTTTTCTAAAGATGCTGTCAAGCAAATTAGCTATATTTTGTCTTTAGGAATACATCTTCCTTTAAATTAGGTAATCTGGTTCATAATACTTGCATACTCTGTGTGTGTCTGCAGTGTGTGTTCTTAATGATTTAAAATAAGACAGTTACTAAAACTTCAACGGGACAGCTTTTCAAGCTTCCAAATTGTAAGGAGTGAGTTGTTATTAGCCTCCCAAAAAGTACTTTTTGCACACTGAGCATGCTGCAAGGCAGACTGATTCGTACGAGCTGAAGCTACCATCTCTGCATAGCTCTGCCAGAGGAGACTGAACAAGGACTCCTTAGCTTCAGGTGAGGTTATTGGATCAGTTCATACCCACCTTCAGCAACAAGTTAAACTGAAGGGGCATATTCATGATTGGTTCAAGACAACTTTGCCATTGCTCTGAAAGATCATCACACCTTCCTCCCTATGCAGTCTGCATGCTTTCAGTACCATGTGGCTGCGTAATTAGTGTTAACCCTTCAAACAAAAGGGAAATCCCTATTTTTCAGTTACATCAGTGAATTAAGCTATATGGTGAATCAGATTAACAGGTGCTAGTTTCAATGCAGGGAGACAGCAAGGATATGCAGCTGGGATGGCAAGTCTTTGGTGACAGTATGGTATTAGTTTGGCTTAAGCAAGTCATTAAATCATGCCATTATTTGCCTGACTTTCCCTGGAACAAAGAGTGAGCACTCATCTGGCTCCTTCTGCCAGCAGAAGTGATGGGAACAGTGACAAACAGGCGTGTCAGTTGGTGTATGTGTTTGCAAAGAAAGTATCTGCTTACGGGTCTAATACGTACTGTAGTCTCGGCAATGAAAGCAAAACCACAACAAACTGAAGATCACGTAAAAAGCTAAATGATTCAGACTCCTTACACAAAAGAGAAGTGACAAGTAGGGGAGCATGAACTTCAAATGCCTGAGGGAAAGGGGCTGGGAGGAAGACTGCTGTCTGAGCTCCTAAGAAGGTCAAACCTGTGGTCTGTGCTGTTCCCAGCAGGACACTCAGAGCTTCAGCAACTTTGTACATTCAGTCCTGTGAACACACAGACATAAATGCTTGAGTAAAAAATGTGTAGGGATGCTGTGAGATCTTGCTGGTGACATTTTGAGGTTGCTCTATCACTGTTGAAAGGCTGTGGAAATTGGGGAGGACCAGGCAAATGTCGTACTCATCTTCAGAAAGAGGAAGAAATCCTGGAAACTACGGGCTGGTCAGACTTGTTTTGGTCCCTGAGAAGACCATGGAGCAATTCTTCCTGGAAAAATTAAATTTTGACCCCACTTTGAGCAGGCAGTTGGCTTTGTCACCTCCCAAAATCTGTCCCAACCTCAATGATTCTGTGATTCTATGGAATGTACTTATACAGAGTTTTTCAAAATCCAGTACGCAGCACAAGGCCCAAGACTGGCTTGCTCAGTCACGCAGCAGGTAAATCACTTTTATTTATACTATGTGAAAAGTATAAGCTAAAACAATTTTTTTTTTAATTTAAAAACTTTATAATTCTTCTGTATGCACAGAATCTCTCAGACCCAAGAGTTGGGTAATCATCATTAGCCTTGTTCTGCACTTGACCTAATCATGTATTGAGATGTAAAACTACATAACAGACACAAAGGTCTAGGGGGAGACTTGAGTACAGAGAACATCATACATAAACCTGCTATGAACTTGTTTGTCTCTAGTAATTGTCTGTTGACTGCTCTAAATCATTATCTGTTCCATTGCTTTGTGGTTTTCTGAGTCCATTACAGCCCCTTCCCCTTCTCTGAGAAAACTCTTACCAGGACTGCGAAGTACTTTTTCATTGGATTGATTCCTTTTAAGCTGTACATACATCATTGGGGATCTAAATGCCTGGCTAGCACAGGAAAGCGATCTGATCACTACAGTCTTTTCCAAAGTGAAAGTTTCTGCTCAATCATGCAGCAGAGTCAAGAAGATACAAACAAAATACTAATGTGCAAAAGAAATAAATGGTAAAATGATTCCATGTTGTTTGGTATAAAACATCACTGGCGCATTATGTTAAGTTGTTGTCAGCTCTTTAAAAGAAAGAGGTTCAGAGAGAGGGGAACTCATAAATAACAGGCCCACAATATGGGAAGATTAAAAAACCCCGCAGTATTTGCTTATGTCCTATCTCAGTTGAGAGGAGATGCAGAATATAAGGAATGGCACAAAAAGACAAGCAGTGATCTCATTTATCATTTGGGAACAGAGAAGTAAAAGTGCAACAGGAGGACAGAAAATACAAAGTTTGTAAAAGGAGATTCTTTGGTTTCATTGCTACTATATATTGAAGCCAAGAGCTTTGAAAGAGTCAAAAAGGATTAGAGATTTATACAGAGAATGAGAACATCCACAGTTACTTTACTTAAAAGCTCCTGGAATATAAACCATCATGTTCCAGGACATTAGACAACCTATAAAACAAGAGGATTTTAAAAGAAATTTTCCCTATGAGCAGGATATTGTGTTTGTCCACTGAGTTATTTGGCTTCTTCCTCAGGAATGTCTAGTACTGGGAACTTAAACCCTGATACTAAACTCCTAGATCTTATGCTGCTGGATTTAGGCAAAAGTATGTAACCTAAGCATTTCGTCTTCCTGCCCAGATGTAGTGTCTGTTCTACCACCTAAAAAAGGACACATGACTAGACTGACCAGATCTTTGACTGACTTTATTGAAACCTATATTTGCTGGCATTCTTTTATACATTTTATGTATTCTATATATATATGTATTTTAATTGTCTCATATTTCCTTATAAAACAGCATCAGTGCTCTCAGGTGATACTGCCACATCCTACTCCAGTTGTTACTGCCCCTTTAGCAGAACTGGCAAAACCATGTCAGTACCTCAGACAACATGCTAGCGAAAACCCACTTGTAGTTTCAGTGACACACCAGATGATGAACTGGAGTGGCTTGGCTCTGGGCTAACATCTTGTTTTGCTAACTCTGCTAGAGAAGGTGACAAAGGGCTAGGGCTGGACAAACAAAAGTGATAATTTCATAACCTGCCACAGAAGGATGCATCAGAGCTCACCTGCAGAAACCCAGAGTGTCTCAATTGATACAGATATCAGCTCTGAGCAGCCAAGCGTGGAAAGGTTCTCCAGTGTATATTATCCTTAAATCATGAGCAGAGGACTAGAAAAACGTGATGCCAGAATGTATTACATATAAGGGAGATTTATGACAAGGTTATTGAATCAAGTCCTATCTTTTGATTCAGGAAATCTTGCTAGCCAGTGTCTTACTGTATGCTTTGTCTTATTTAGTTGCAGATCTGGGACACGGCTGGCCAGGAGAGATTCCGAACTATCACACAGAGTTACTACCGCAGCGCCAATGGAGCAATCCTAGCCTATGATATCAGCAAGAGAGGCTCTTTCCTGTCCATTCCTCGCTGGATCGAGGATGTGAGAAAGTATGCCGGTTCCAACATAGTACAATTACTGATTGGTGAGTTAAAAATATTAATACCAAGCGCTACGGATTACTGTACAATGTAATTAGTTGCAATACTTGTTTAAGATGGTTAACAGTTCTATTTTTGGTTGAAGTTAAGATGTATGTAATAGATCCGACTGAAAATTTTCCCAGTATTTTTTTTTTTTATTAGAAAGTGGTGATTCATCAAAACAGAAATGTTTTGCTTTGATTAAATTCTGTTAAGAAGTAGCCAGCTTTGTATCAGAAGCCAGCTCTGAATCAGAAGCCAGCTCTGAATCCTTTGCATCTCGCTTAATGGAGAACTGGGTACCCAAGATGTCCAGGTTCTGAGGCACAACCACTGTGGAGCTCCTCTCCTGATAAGGGCCATAAGGCTTCCAGGGCCCAAAGAAGCCCCATTGTATCCAGCCGATGTGTTTTGGCAAACTGGAACACCCACATACTTAAGCAGACAGTGGATTTCGGAAGGACTTTGGGGCAATCAGGGTTTGTCAGTTCTCTGCTAGAAGTTCTGCTTCCCAGCCCCAATGTTTCTGACTCCGATGTGGCTCTTGGGGCCTGTAGACCCACTAATACAGCATCAGTAGTATTCTAGATTTCCGTAAGAACCAGCAGACTGCTGTTGTTTTCACAAAATGGCTTTAGCTTTCATTTCTAGCCCATTTTTCTTCTGTTAAGGTCTACAGCCACCACTGTTCAGTTACTGACTTTTTCTGTTATCTATATGAGTCATACAGAAATACAGGTTGGAAAGGGCTTAGGAAGTTATCTAGTCCAACCTCCTGATCAAAGCAAGGCTAATGTCAGGTTGGTCAGGGCCTTTTCAGTCAAAATTTGAAAATCTCCAAGAATGGAAATTCTGCAGTTTCACTGGGCAACCTGAGAACCTCCTGCTTACTCTGACATAAATAGTCATTATAAATTACTCTGTTGTTTTCTTTTTCTTCCAGGAAACAAGTCTGACCTAAGTGACCTTCGAGAGGTTCAGCTGGAAGAAGCTCAGAGTCTGGCTGAACACTATGATAATATCATCTGTGCCATAGAGACCTCTGCGAAAGACTCCAGCAATGTGGAGGAGGCTTTTGTGAAGATGGCTACAGAGCTCATGATGAGGCATGGAGGCCCTATGTTCAGTGAGAAGAATACTGACAGCATTAAGCTTGACAGCAAAGACGTTGTGGAAGGCTGGGGGTGTGGTTGCTGATATGAGCTAGGTGATACCCCTAACTTTACTGGAATTTAGATGGTGCTTCACCCTAATGCTGAGTAGCACGGTAGCCATATTCTCCTCCTCCTGTGAAACCAGCAATTTTGTAGAAGTTAGACACAATCCTGTTTGCTTTGGTGTCTTATTTTTAAAAAGGGACTTTTGAGAGGTAGTCCTAAAAGTCAAGCCCTCTGAAAAACTTACTCAACATTTGTCCCCACCATTTTCTTTTCTGTAATCTTCATACAAGTTACAAAAGTGGAGGAAACAACTTTGAACTGGTGATGTGGAGTGGGGAGACAGATGGTTGGGGAAGAGACTGATGCACACCCAAAGTTCTGAAGCATTTAGCATGGGACTGTTGGCAAAGGAGGTCACTTTTGGAATAGGCAGTCTTGACAGTGTCTCTTTAAATCCTCAGCACTCCACCAATGACCAGAAAGTGACAGTGTCTTTAAGAAAGGTATTTCAAGTGTCAGAATTCCCAACGTTTTGATTACAGGACCAAATAGCAGTCATGTGTCCTAGGGCATACAGGTTGCTAGTTATTATTGGAACAGGCCCAGGTGGGGAAATCTTCTCTCAGGTTTTGTTATAATTTAAGTTATCATTTTAACAAAAAGCAAAATCAGCCCGAGCAATATCACATGACTTGCTGTCAAGCAGGATTTGACCAGTGTAGTTATTTTAAATACAGCCTTGAGGGGAGGGTAGATGCATTTCATTTGTTATTGTTTGCACAGTGATAGCTCCCTCTCCCAAGTGGGTATTATTGAGTTTTTGCCCTCAGGTCGCTTAATTTCATTCCATAACTCAAGACCTGCACCACTGGAAACAGGAACTGAAGAAACCTTGAGCTGACTGGTAGCCATGATCTCCTGCCATGTGCCTAACGGTCACCTACAGGGTTAATTCTGGTCATTCATTTGACATTATGTTACCAGAGTGTTTATTGCTTAAGTGGCATAAGTGGATTTGGGTTTTGTTTTGTTGTTTGTTTTTTTTTTTTTAAACCATCTCTTTAAATACAATCTGGGCATATAATGGCAAAGACGACCTCAGAATAGCTGAAAACTGCATGCATTGCAACTTCCTGGTTGTAAGAAACCGGAGTCTTTTCAAGTGATTCCCTTCCAACTTTGTACTCAACTGTTTCCCTCTCCCTATCACAAGTTACCAATTGCTTTTCATTCTTGAAAACACTCAGCAG